TTCTTTGATGCAAGGCATACATATTTGAAAGTAAATCTAATCAGTGTTGGGGTTATAGACTTCAATTAGTAACTTGTGTGTGTGTGTGTGTGTGTGTCGTTTATTGGGTTGGCAACTAAGTAATTGCCGATTTCAGTTATAGATGTCTCTCACTCCCATTTTTATAATATCCGTAAAAATGTAATTATAAAATTATTATTATTATTATTATGTTATTTTTTATTATCCGTGAATGTTAGCAACTGGACAAATTGAATGCTGCGGTCAAGGAAAAGCGACCAGAATTGATCAATCGTAAAGGTGTCATTTTCCACCAGGACAATGCTAGGCCGCACACGTCTTTGTCCACTCGGCAAAAATTGATGGATATTGCTTGGGAATTGATGTTACACCCACCATATAGCCCTGATCTCGCGCCATCGGATTACCACTTATTTCGATCCCTGGACAACTCCCTTCGTGGTAAAACTTTTAACGATGATGACGCTGTAAAATCTCACTTAACTCAGTTTTTGGCCGAAAAGGATCAGACTTTCTACGAGCGTGGAATTTTCAAGTTGTCAGAGAGGTGGCAAAAGGTCATCGAACAAAATGGAAAATACATTACAGATTAAACTTCATTGCAAGGAAAAAAAAATTTTTTATTTCATTGAACAAATCGGCAATTACTTAGTTGCCAACCCAATAGAATGCATACGTTAATTTACAATGTGCTTCGTTCAGTGAACGTAATGCGGTACATTTAGAAACAGTTTGGAAAATTCTCTTCGATCATTACATGGCGGATTTTATGCATAGGACTTATTTTTTAAAAACTTGGCGTAAAACAGTATTTAGTCAGATTTTTACTATCTTTATGATGATACATCAGTTGACGAAGTAAAAGATTTGTTTCTAACTCCGGTATTCTAAAATGGTCACTAATGATTTGTTCTTCTAATTCGATAGAGAGAGATATTAGTAATAATTTAAATAATGTTTTTACCTTTTTTAGAATGTTATACAATTACTAATAAACTACAAAGTATCTTTATCAACTCTGTAAATTACTACAACTAGAAGAAGCACGCTAGAAACAGTCTCTGAAAGTGATCTTCGATGGCGAAGTTCCCGTTTATTTACTAAAAATCAGCGAACGGAAGCATCAACAAAAATTTAATAAGATATGTTCGCTTTCTTCAGAATATCACGCAACCCCCACAAACAGGAGTTTGTAAATTACTATTTCCAAACGAAACACAGTAAAAGCAGTCTCCTAAAATAGTTCTCGCAGGTAAAGCTCGTATTTATTTTTTAAAACTTGGCACATTACGCTCTTCGAAAATTTTAACAACACATTCACCTTTATATCGCAGGACAACCCGTAACACACTAAAGAACATTTCCTAACCGCAATTTCTATAAATCATGTCACACGAGCCATGTAAAAATGTCTTCTAACGAGCATTATAAAACCGATACAATAAATCGAAATTCAATAAAAATTACGTAACTTTAGGAAGTCGCCATCCAGTTCCAGCATGTGAAATGGTTCGGCCTTGCATAACCGATCCTGGTCGAGTTAATCGTGGTTTGTCGTAAAGACAGTGGATTCTTTTTAATGGAAATTACCGCTGGAAAAGTACCGCGATCTCGATCGTTTATACAGCATTTAAGAAAACGGTAAACGATGAAGATAAGTTTTTACGAAGGCGCGTTAATTGTCGGTATCATTCGACGAGCAAGCTTTCGCAGCTCGCGTCGAGTAAACAATTGGGCGATAATCTGGAACGAAAGTTCCGCGCTTCCAGGTGTGCACCGTGATGCAGATCGACGAGATCTGTTCGGGATCTTAATGGGATTTTCACTGAATGCGACAACACAGTGGCGAACGAAACTGGAAACGTTTCGCGGAGAAAGCACGTCCACTGTTATCGAGCTGAATCCGATTTACGGGTGCGATTCAAGGCGACCCGTTCGCAAATAATTGCACCCGAGTTTCGTTTTCGACTGCCTAATTAAGCGACGAGCTTCTATTGTAGTAAGTGCTGGTGGTTTTGCATGACGTTGATCTCGAGGTCTGACGAGGGACGATCCTAATCTACTGCATCTGAGGAACATAGTTTTCTGCCGTGGCTTTCTTCTGGTTAAATTAACGCGCCGTGTGAAAGCTTTTATCTTGTGTTTTGCTTCTCTTTGATCTGCACTTAACGTAAGCGATAATGCCTAAACGCTACACGAAAATTTTTAACAGTTTTTGTTGATAGTATGGTGAAGAGATTGTATTCATCTTACTTTACAGTTTTATATCCATCTTTACGATGGATATTAAAAAACACTGTAAAACATAGTTTGCACATCTTCAAGAATGCCTCTTGTTTGTTTATTTGTAGACCAGCTAAACTGGATTTATTTTGACCTGAATTGTTTACAGCGGTAAATTTTTACTGAATAATCAAGGATATTTTAGGAAACTTTGTACAAAGGTAAGAATTAGTTGCATGTAAGAACACATTTTTTCTATTTACAAATAAAGTTATATAATAAAATTATCGTATATGTTGCTTTATTTTTATCCATTTACTGTAATATAATATAATTTTTTTAGAAAAAACTTACTGACTTGTGAATTTTAATGACCTACCTTACAATGAAATTTAAGGACCTAATGAATTTAAATATAAATCTGACGAAATATTTGTAATAAGTAAAGAAATTTTCTTTGGGCGAAATATGACCCGGCATTGGCTTTCGTCCGACCACTGAATCTTTAGTCGTTCCACGGTTATTACCTATTTGAGAGTTTTAATGGCTGACATCATGTTAAAAATATTTAATAATATATAAAGGGTAATAAAGAGTGTAATTGTGATATCTTTTATCTTGCTACCTGTCGAATTTTTGCAGTGATTTGAACATTAGCATAATATAAAATAATCTAAAGTAATTTGCAACCTTTTCTTGTCAGTAAAAGAAAAAAAAAATCTTATGTTAATACTTTAATATCTTAAGTGAAGAATTGATATTGTTCATAAGCATGAATTCTGTAAATGTCCCATAGAAATGTAACTTTCATTTTAAGTATCATTTCGAATGGAATCGATCATTCAAAAGTGTGAAGTACAAAGTTAACATAAAACGTCGTCGACGTGATATGCGGAAAGAATGATCAACTTTCATAGTGCGTGAACGCCTTTATATAGATTTTTTAAATCGTTCGTATTAGAGTGGGGCACGAGGCAACCAGTTCCACGATTAAATACATCGGTGAAAAGAAAAGAATTTGATACACTCGATACTTGTGTCCAACATGAAGTAACAGCAACGTTTCGCGTTTCTAGTGACATAATAATTGATGTACGTTTCTTGTAGGAATCAACTGTGCGTTCCTTAATAAAAGATACACAGATAGATTGCCGTAACGAAAGATTTTATAAATTTCCTTTTCCTGACAATATATTAATAGCATCGTCTAATTGAATGAAAAAATTCTTAAGTCATTATGGTTTTGCGTTCTGTTAATGATGAAATCTGTAATAAAAGTAAATAATTGTGCTTTCTTATGTGGAACATTGAAACTGTACATTTACTTTAATCTTAATTACAATGACCACAAAATATGGTCATAGAACTATATCTTTTACAATTTCGAAAACTGCAATGTTTCATTTTAGACATCTACAAATACTCTCTTACTATTTATTCTATAGACCTTAAGCAATCATAATTTCTTACCCAACAATTTAGAAAATCTATGATTGAAATGAATAACTGTATTCCCTTAGAAGTTCTATAAGTTGCTGAACATGATAAAAAATTTGTTCAGACAGAATACGTGTACATAAATTCATTGTATAGTCTCACTAATCTTCTATTGATCTTCTACCAAATATCACTTTTCAACAATTTAGAATACTTACAAATGAACGAAAATTGTACTTTCCTTAGGTTTTCAAAATACATTCAGACGTAACACGTTTTACTATTAGCAAGATTCACTACTCGCTTACGAAATCTATAACTAGTATGTGGATCATTTCACAAAATAAAAATGGTCTAACTTAATTACGATAAACACAAGTAAAATAAAAACAGTCTAACTCAATTACAACGAACAGAAATAAAATGAAAATGGTCTAACTCAATTGGAACAAACAGAAAATGGAAATGGTCTGACACAATTACAATAAACAGAGGTAAAATGAAAATGGTCTAACTCAAATACAGTAAATAGAAGTAAAATAAAAATGGTCTAACTCGTGTACAACAAACAGAAGTGAAATAGAAATAGTCTGACTCAATTACAACAAAGAGAAGTAAAATTAGAGTGTTACACTTCCTTCAATCATCGCAACAAGTAACTAGTATAATAAAGTAGTCAATATTCGTAATAAATTACAAAGACCTCTTCACATAAATTTTCCAGGGCACGACGGAAAGTTGCTCATAGCGTTTTTCCGATTCCCACCACGTGCTCCCGATTATGTCACTCAAGAACATTCAACGGAATTCTGTCATTCTCATGAAAACGAATTCCGTGAGGAATCTTTAACTCACCTGTCTAGGATCCATCGCGTCCCGAGAATAAGGATCGACGGTAACTGCCGTGATCCTCCTAGACGCTTCCGCTCCGTTCATCTTCACGGCCGGAACGAGGATCTATGTATCGTCGACGATCCCTCTCTCGAGGATCGAGTAAGAGAAAGAGAAAGAGGAGACGAGAGGACGGAGGGCTTAAGTGTAGCGTGGAGGTGGCGCCAGGCCCCTCCTTCTAATAAAAGCCGCTCACTAAGCTCCGTTACACAGACAGTCACAGAAAACCCGACGAGAGCAGGAGCCGCCGAGAGCTCCTTTTAGGTCCTCTTTTTCCGAAGTGGTTTCGAAAAAGTTAATCGAGTGACGGATTTGATAAACGGTGTGTGGTGAGTTCTCGGACCAAGGAAAACAGACCCGCGAGTGTCCCAGTGACACGGGAAGATCGGGACGCACGTGGCTTCCGGTGACCAGTGGGGAAACTGTCGACCACCCTCTAGAAAAATCTCGAAATATTGCAACAGTTGTCCGAAACGATTTTTTCTTCTTTTTAGAACAGTTTTGAATATGAATTCGATCGATCGAACAGGGAAAATCGGTTGAGAGGTTTGGGATCGACATGCTAGTGACGTTTGCGAAATTGTAATACCCTAAATGAATTCTACCTAGATCGAACTGGAAAGTTCTTCTCTACGAACTTTTAGATCATTGTAATGTGTTAAATCATTTATTTTAGTTGATTGATAGTTTTACTGGCTATAGAAATCATTCAATGAGTTGACGATCACCGATGACCATCGGGTAGGTTTCAGTTGATATGGATTTCTATCTATTTCAACGGTTATAGTAAACACGTTACATGTCAAGTTCAATATTCTATCATCGTTTTCTCAAAATGGCGTGGATGATAGTCTGTCAAAATATATTTGTCTATGAATGTGTTGAAAACAGCACACCTTTTCAATATTATATCATTAAAAACAAGTAATTAACTGTTTACGAGTCAGAATTTCTCTTTGACATTTGTCATACACGTGCTATATTGCAACTGTTTTAATATCACGAAACATATTTCTTACTGAAAACTCAATTTCGACATTAATGGTTCTAGTCGTAAAAATGTCTTGCTTCTGTAAGGTTTTTCCTACAAAGAATTTCTTTCTAGTGTAATCTTTAATAAATTTCCATTTCTAAGAAGCCCATAAAATTACAATCAACGTTTCAGAAGTGATTTAAAAATATGCTAATCGAAGCAGGCGATCCTAAACTCTCGAAGATCAGCATGCAGAATAATGTTGAGTAAAGTATGCTCTTTTTTTGAAAATGAAGTGAAACGTGTTCAAATGGCCCCCGGTGATGGAATTTTTACTGACCAGTTATCAAGGATCCTGGACACGAGTTTTTCGAAGGTTGGCCCGGCCGTTTCCCACGTGCAAGGTGTTTGCACATACATGCTCCTCGAGTTCCTGTTCGTCGCTAGTGTGGCTCGCGTGAGCCAAGATTCTCAGTGAAAATGATCGGTGTAGTGGTTCTCGGCCAAGAACGACGGGCTCGAGGAGAAAATCGAAACTCGCGTGGCGGTCTCGTGCCCGAGGAAAATCCGTTATTTTTTCCATCGCGCCCATTGACACCTGGACACCCGTCCGTGGACGCACGTGTCCATTTCTTTAGTCGACCATTGTTCGTTGTGTCGTCATCGGTACCGAAACGGAGTCCGATTCTTTTTCTGCTTCCCTCGGGGAGAAAGGTTTGACAGCTGCGACGGTCCTCTCCTTTCTCCGTTGGATATGAAAAGTGTAGCTAATTTTCTGCCGCTGTCGCTGCATGACCTCGAAAGTAACTTGTGATAGTTTTCGGTCGGTTGCCGCTGTTAGTAACTCTCTGGAAAGCTTGAGAAAATCCTCTCGCCACACGAGGGAGTCAAATCTAGTTAAATTGTATCTTGTTTTTTTTCCGTCCTCTATGTATTTTATCCGACGGATGTGCGTTATTTGTAGTCCGATTTCCGCAGCCGGTGACGAGCAATTAATTGAAATTGCTAATGGCCGACCTCCAGCAGACGATCTTGCACCATCAACGGTTTGGGAACGCGCGTGGTGAATCTATATTGGCTATAGCTGTGTCGCCACCATTGTATTCCAGCTACTGCAATTATAGACCCGTTTCGGCGGTCGGTCGTTCTGTAATGCTACTTAAATTTCTAGATTGCTCTGTGCAGTGCGTCAGGAAAACTAATATGATGTTCACAGACGTTCAGGGGCTCATTGAATATTTAGCAGCTGAGAGAAAATCGCAATCGCTTCCTCAATTCACGAATTTTAGAAAAATCCTATCCTCTAGAATAAGCTTTGTCAGCCACATGGAATAATTAGAATATGATAATAAACTATCAGATATAATAACATTCTTGGTTGAACGTACGTTCAGCTAATTTCAACAAAATCTAACTTCCGGAACATAGATAAAACCGATTCAGAAGACATCCAATCTATTTTTCTCGAGGAATCAGTTAAATAAATTCTTAGCTAGATTAAATAAATCTAGAAATGATCCTTTTTGTTTGCAAGACAGCGAAATTCTTATTTCAAAAAAGTCTTCTGAAAAAATTTCTAGGCTAAACAATTTCTCTTTACTTTCAAGAAATTCGCTTTACTTAAAAATTCTTTGACCAAAGATCTCTGAGCTGGTCAGAGTTTAACTAAATCCTTTTAAAGAATTTCAAACAGGAAATCTCCAAGGAGAGTACAGATTAAACAGATCTAAAACCCGGCTTTTGAAAGATTGCTTTTGTAAGCAGAATTTTCGAATATTTCAAAGCGTAATCTTTCTCAAGTTTCGCATACGTAATAGATAATGTCAGGTCGATAGTAAAAAAGCGACAGTACATCGTTTGCGGAGAATCTTCGGCGTACAAGATGCCAGCGGCATTCTTGACTTTCATTCGGTCGAAAGTGATAGTTTCGAACGTATCCATGCTCGAGAAAGGAGAGCCATTGCTCGATCCCCTCCTGAAGATCGCCGCAGCTCCCTCGCACTCTTGTCTTTGTCTCCGGGATCCTTCTGACCGGTTTCCGGTCCATCCTGAAGCATAGTAACTCACAGGAACCGTACCTTTCTCTTCCTCGACCCTTTTCAAATTTCCTCACCGACGAACAGACACTGACTCTATTGTCTCTCTTGCAGATACGCTCTTCGAGGCAACATGAAGTCGACGTTCATCATACTGGCAGCGCTCTGCGTGGCTCTGGTCAGCTCGCATCCGCTTGAACAAGATCGCCTTCGGTCCGAGGTAAGAGGACAGGAAAACATGTTGTCTTCGACTCCTGCCTGCTTCTATTCTTTAGAGTTTTTGAAATTAACGAAAATGAAAATTGCACGCACAGTTCGGAACTGGGACATGTGCGAACCGACCAACAATTAAACGCGTGCGTGTTTGTTCTGGAGTTAGGCTTTTGTCGTTGGCAGAAGTGTATTGTGGCGATATTAGGTCCCCTCTGACCGCAGCACGTGTCGTTTATTACTCGACGGTCTTCAAGTTTTATACTCGTTTTGACCTAGAAACAGTGTTGTTTCTCGGCTGAGGGAGTTTGATCTTACATAGTTACGTTTTCCTGAGAGTTCATGTTTTTCTTATGATACAAGAGCTGTCAGATTGATCAGCATAGCTCACGTAGGAAATTAATATCTATATCGATTCATTCATTCGCTTGCATACTATGTAATTATCAACTGAAATCCTAGCAGTACTGCGATAATTCGTACAAGAACAAACAAGCTAATTTGAATTGCTTGGTACATCCATTGATAAAGACTGCTTTAGAAAGTGAAAAGGAATGTTTGATCCGCGCTCGATGGTACTATAATCTTCGTTGGATTTCCTGGAAATCGTATGAGTTATTCAAGTACAAACTTCTCCGTTCGCATCGTCATATTAAAAATATCAAAAATACCCAGAAGAGATCAAAAAAATGCATGCTATAAATTACTGAGCCATAATCTTAAGTGGGATCTTCCTTCAAACTCAGAATCGTAATTTTATTACAATACAAAACTATTCAGAGAATGTAAACCACAATCTTAAGCTAAATCTTCTTCAAACTTCGGAGAAGAGTCTCGTACAACTAAAATCGGTTCGTCTTGAAAAAGAAAAACATTAGTGCTAGCAATTAATTCCGAATAACAAATTAAAACCAATCTATAGTAACATATCTCGAGGAAGATCGCTCTAAGCGGCGTGCTAATAAATCACAATTTATAAATGAGGTTATTTATAAGCTTCACTTATTCATTTATCTATAACCGCAAATAATTTCTTCAATTTCTACGACCCATCCTTTCAATTCTCTATATTCAACTCTTGCGAGACTAAAACGCATGCATACAATATCCTTTATGAATCTCTTGTTCAACAAAGTTGATTCACTCGGAAGCAGAATATTGCATAACGATCCCGTTACGATCGCTTTCTCTGTGTCACTGGGCCGTCATTATCGAAAAATCTGATATCACCGTTCAGGGGAACCCCGAAATCGGAGAAAGTGCGGTTGGGCGATCACGAAATTCGCCGCCGAGGGACCACCCGTTAATTGCCAATGGAAGGAAGGAGAATCGGTTGCGGCAGTCCTCTTCTGTATTTCGACGGCTAAAACAGTCGTAGATCGTTTGACCAAGGCGATCGGATCGATTCGATGACTGGAGATGATATTTCCCTTCCGATCGATCTCGGGAAACCATCGCGGCCGAAGGAAGCTCGCAATTATTCTCACCAACATGGCTGCTTAATGTACGTTTTATGACGCTAACCGTGTTTCCTGCTTAATGACAAGCGTTTGCTCTCAGCGTGGCTTATCCAATAGTCTTTCGAATTCGGCGAATCATTGAGTCATAGACGACCTTCCTGCGAGATCATCAATGGAAGTGCTTATAGAATACACATTATGTATTGTGTCTGCACTTAGGTGGCTTAAAGGAAAATTGCTCCTACACAAACGTGATTATACGATAAAATACATGTATGATAAAGATATCGTTATTATGCAGTTCCTATGTGTTGCGCTAAATTCAGGCACTTTTTAATATGAACACATATCTCCAATCTAATTACAGAAGCGTTAGATTAAAATTGTTAGTTACGATAAATTAGAGTGTATCTATTCAAACAGGTATGTGAAACTCTCTTGATATTCCGCAAGATAACTGTGTATAATTTTTCAATAGACTCTGACAATGGTCGACTTATTGAAAATTTATTTATTCATAGGAATTTTCTGTTTAATGATATTCAATGCCTATATCGTAGTTACTTTTGTATAATCAATGACTTGTAAGACATTAAGACGTCGTTTCATATGTTTTGTTTTTCAATTTTCAAAAGTAAGCTATTGTAGGAAATAGATAAGACATATTTGCGTATCTTGCTAAATGTTCACACTGAACATTTGTACCTTTAAAAATGCATAAAACTCTGAGTAGTGTACAGAAAAAGACGTCTTCGTTATTAATTGCCTTCGAAGAAGACATTATGATCGATTTTCTTGACGAATAAATCTATTTTCAATTGTTCTATGGGGAATCTTTGACTACATAACTTTCTTAATATCGGAGGCAGTTACGGGGAAAAAACTGTTTCAACAGAAGAAAGAGGAATGTCGTTCCAGAATCACAGTTTGGAAACTTTCTCGCGGTCGTAAATGATTCATGACGCCTGCTCACCCCGTGGCCCACGATTGCATCCATTGTCTCGCCGATTAGTCGGCTAACGAGCACTACCAATCGCGTGCGACCGGCTAATCGACCGACGAATTAACGTATAACGTTGCGTAAAGCGGAAGGTCATCCGCGGAACCGTAAGCGCGTCACGCACGAAAGTTTCGCGGTTACAGAGAACGGAAAGGTTTATTTTTCTCTTTTTCTTTCTTGTCATAGTGGGAAAAGGTTAGGCAAGAGTGGCCTGGCCAGGTAGAGCTCGTCGTTTCGCGACCGATGAAATACACGGTCCAACGAAAAGACGGTACGGTCGAGCCGGCTGGCTCTCTTCTTCGGCCCCGACACTTTCACTGGCCGCGAACACTCGCTTCAGCTACACCGGACACTTTCTTCGCTCGATCGATGCCCAATGGAAAGCGCGTGCGTGAGCGTGCACGCGTGTTCCAACCTCTCTCTGATCTGTGATTCTTGGGGCACGCCGTGGACGCCAGTGGTTCCCAAGCTTCCTATCCTCGAACTCTTTTCATCACCATTTTTCTTCATTGCTGAAGTCATATATCCTATCCTCTACTTTTAAAGCAGTTCTGTGCGATTTCGGGGTCAACTAAATCAGCAGTGGATGAGAAAGCTTGACTCATGTCAGAAATTAGTACAATCTTTCTCACTTCCTCGATCGAAACGGAATATTCTTTGTTTTAAGAGTAATTATATCTCTCTGCTATTGAGAATTGCTCTTCTTAGGCTCCTGACGAAAGGATAATCATAATTTTATCCCGATTACTGAAGCAACATACACTATTTTACGACGAAGCATCCTCTTCTATACTTCATTTTTGAAGCAGTTGTCTTTTTGTGTGATTTTAGGGAAATGCTAAATCTGGAATTCATCCAAAAGTTTCCTCTTTTCGAGAACACTTAATCAACAGTCTTTTTCTTATACTTCCAAGTTGGAAATGATTAAAGTTTCTCTTACTTGCTGGATCAAGGAGCAATATTCTTTATTTCAGGAGTAATTAGTTCTGTCTATTTTCGTTGGAACACTGTAGACGGCAGAAGCTTCCTCTTCTTACGCTCCCATACCGAACGTAATTATAATTCTATCTATTGGCCGGATCGACACGCAACGGTTTAATTTGTCCACAAAATTTTCACATAATAATAATAATAATAATAAATAATAGTAATAATAATAGAGTAATAATAAAAATGAAAATAAAAACAGTATGATTACAATACAGAAAACAAATTAAATTTCCTAGCTTCTGATAACATTGATTTTTTAATTTATTTTGCATTATTCCTTTCATATTTTCCAAGTTAGCAAATATAACAAACGCGAAAATATTTGGGATCATGTGGCGATCATCAAAAATTAGTTTCGATTGCGCCCGCTGTGTCATAGTCATCGGAGAGTTCAACGCATGGGTACAGTGACACAGTATCCTAGGAGACTTCAATGCGTGGTAAAGCGCGTCTTCACCCTCTGATCTCGATCGAACTCACTCTGTTCATTAATTACCGCCATAAATCATTCTGCCTGATCAACGATACACAGAGAAAGGTTTTCGCAAGTTAGTTGGCTCTCGAAAGCACTTAGAAACGTTTCCGGTACCATCCGTAACAGACTGATTACCGTAGAATCGATTATTCGAAAGTCCCGATATACGATGGGATAATTTCACCGGCGATGAAAACACAACGAATCGAAAAGAGACTGCTAGCATAACTGTAACACACATGCCTGAAGGTATCGTAACAGCTGGTCGAACGTGATTTCAGGGAAAGTGAACCATGCTAACCGGGTTGAGCAAGACGCTAGAAGGTCCAAGACCGTCCCTGTTACAATTAATTCGCCGAAGGTTTTACGCGTTTTTCGTTCGGTTTTTAATTGCAGCGCGGGCTTAATCGACTCTCGCGTCGTCCGGGCAAATAACGTAACAATCCATAGTCTGTTATAGTAAACTGTAGCGGCACTAATGCGGCGCTCGTCTAATAATACGCAATCCTGACGTTTAACTCGGTAGCTCCGTTCGAGTTATTGTTGTGTGCGCAACGGTGGAGTTTCGCCGTTTCGCAGGACGGATTTCCCGTCGCCGTAAGCTTTCGTCTTCGAGCACGTGTTCTCCTGATAGTTACGCATAATTCGAAAATTGCAGCCCGTAAATCGGCGAACGGAGTCGCGGGAATTATGCAACACCGTTCAGTTAACACGTCTCGCGTACACTTTCAACGAGGTTTCCGGCTAACGAGGCTCGAACACTTCCTCGTTGCTGATTAGACGAAACTCGAATTCCTCTCGAGTCGATCACTATGAAATTTACATAGCTCGGAGAGGTACAGAATTCTATTAACTCGAGAAGGTACAGGACTCTATATTAACTCGAGAAGTCAAGATTACGGAGAAACGGTTCGAAGTGGAAAAGCAGATTGCAGGGACAAAGGGAAACTGTTTTCAGGCACTCGATCGGCTGATGATCGTCGAAGCCGACAACGAGGCCGCACTAAGGAGCAAAAGGACGATCGGTATCCTGCGGGAACTCTTCCCCGAAATCTCTCAGGTGAGCCACTGCTGAACCATCACGCAGTGAAATCCTGCTGACGACCAGGATCATTAGAGCCCCGCTACCTTGTGGATCCCATAGATAAACACGGTGGTTGAACAGCTTAAACAGTGGTTTATGCGATTGTCAGTTGTACGCGTCTACGATACTCCGTGCATTTTAAATGTTTGGGAAAAAGAAACGAGGAATTTTGCACAGTTTTAAAATACGTGTAGTTAATACTGCGAAGTACGGCTGTTCCTTACAATTTATTATCTACTACAAATTCGAGATAACGTCGGTGTCCTTGAATAAAAATGTAAATCGTAGAGAACTATTTTGACACAGTAGCCTTGCAGAAAATAGTTTTCATATCTTCGCAATCGTGGATAAAATAAAATTTACAATAACTTTAAGTCACTTTGAAATATAACAATGATTTAAAAGTACTTTACTTCGTACTTGCTTATATCTTTCCTATTTTGTCTGATGAATTACTCTCAATATTCTAGAAATATCCTGAAAATGTCCAGAATCTACTTCTCTGTCTCAAATATGTAAGAACCGCGAGTTGTAGACTTTTCCAATTGACAGCACGCATTTGCTGACACCGAAGATTGACAATTCCGTCTGGGATCCTCGATCCTTCGAAAATCCCGCATTGTCGGTCGATCCAATTACCCGCAAGAGGACTGTGGGCGTCCTCGAGATTGTATCGCGGAGGGAAACACGTAGAAAAAATGGTAGATTCATTAACGCTGGCATTTGCAGACAATCGAAACAAGTTCGTTGTTCCTTGGAAATTCGTGGTTTAAGCGGAAACGGTATATAGAGATTCCACCTGATACGGCTTCCAGCTAGAGATTCAATCGATTAATAAGTATGAATGAGCCTCCGAGTTAGCGTGCACAAAATACAGAAATGTAGCGATGGCCGAGGAGAAATTGTTCACACCGAATTGGCATTCTTCCCAAGAAAGCTGCGCGTTCGATACGAAATGCATTCGGGATTTACTTCGTTGCGTACCTGGCTTGGGCAAACGATAATAATAATAATTCGACGGTATATCGTACGCACAAGTAATCTGTACACTGACGTCCGTTCGGACGCTCATGGCTTCTCTGGAAAATCTGAAACGTATGGTTAGCTTTAATATCGCGTTGACTACAAAGCAGTATCAGGATTTCCGGCGGGAAATTGATGCAAATGGTTCTAATCGCTAGATTTCCGTGATCCTAGTAATGCGACGACCACTTGTACACTGCAACATTTTTTTTAATAGATTGAAGGACTCGGAAGATAAAAATTTCCTGCAGAAATTCCTGCAGAATTCCAAATTGCAGGAGTTTTTATAGTGTCACATACAATTTTTATCATAAATGCATACAATTCGCAGTCTAATCCGGCTATAGCAAAATTGAACAATCTGGTTAATCCGACATCAACCAGCAATTCATTAATGATCACTGTACTCAAAAGAAAAACAGTAAAATTTGTGGGGCCAGATTAATATCAACACGTAACAAAAAAACGTCGCGCCTCAGTTAAAGAATGAACCTCGAACTAGAGAATAATACAGGGCAACACTCATTTTGGAGACAGAAATTTTAGACCTGTTTTTAAGTATATTTGGTACGATGAATCTGAAATTGCTATTCATTATTATGAATCAGCTTCATTATCAGCTGCATTATTTTACATGGAGAACATGTCGTTTAAATGATTTTCACGAATAAGTTTCGCTTGACGCAAATATTCAGTGCATAATTTGCGCGCATTATGAGGCACACGCCATAACTTATCTTGATTTTGAATTTGGTTATTAAAGGGACGAAAATTCTCATTCTTAAATCTTCTTTCATAGTTTATTAATTACAAATGTAGCAAACTGTATCGAGAATACTTACAACAGTGTTTAAATTTATCAGAAGTCACACAAATTTGAACGAATCAAGACGGTAAATATTTTGTGTGTGTACTATACATATATTCGAATAATAGAAGAGCTAGAAAATAAAGATAGCGCAAAAACTATAGTTGATACGTGATACAAATAAATGCTAAAGATTGCTTACTTTACATCTTACAATTCATTCATGTAATGTTAATAATAATAAAGAGGTTATATCGAGCCCCAAAGACAGACGTCGGTGCACAGTTGCTGTGCAGGATTGAGGATACAATCTCGACCAAAACAACCCGAAAGAACAGTCATCCAACACACGATCCTCGCATCGATTGTTCGTCGTTCGTTCCTCGGGTGCCCCAGCACTATCTGAGTCACTCAGATTCCATCGAACAACCTTCTGCCACGAAGGCTGACAACGAAATCACTTGCGTCGTTCTCTAAAAAAACACACTCATTGTCAGTCCCACGAAAATCCACTTGAGTGTCAGAAGCACCGACGATTCGTTGAACGAAACGGAGAACATGATGAACCGATAGAGAACCGACAGTCCTTCACACATCCTCAGCCTTGTGAAGAGACGAACCGAACTGAGTCGGCGCTGCAAGTTCCTAGCCAGCTAAAGGCTGTTGTTTTCTAGATGATCGAAAACAAGGTGAACGCGATAGTCGCCGAGGTGATTCGCGTGGTCGGGCCGACCTTGCTGCAGAATTTCCTCGGGAATAGCCAGTCGTCTGCTGGCGGTGGGACCGGGTCGGGCGTCGGAACGACGGTAACCGTTTCGTCGCCCTTCGGAGACGACGATGACGACGAGGACTCCGGGTTCAAGTCGACCAGCTCGAACGGCTCTAAGGTCTCGATCGCGTTGCCGACCTTCCCGCCGGACGAGGACGAGGACAACGAGACTTGGAATGA